CCCATTCTGAATTGTAAGCCTCTGACACTGATATGCCTGGTGTGTGAGACACCTTCATGTCATTGTATGCCTTTACACAGTGCTGCGCCATGATCTCGTGGCTTGTGATCTTTGCCAGCGCAACATCCCTTGGAGGATAGACAAATGAGGAACATCAGGCAATATCTGAACAAAAGAAGGCATTGGAAGGTGGTCCCCTTTTCACAATCGCAGGTGAGAAACTTTCTCAGAATAATCATGTACACCCTCCTTCTAGATGCTGGGTCTCCCATGTGCTTTGCATCAACCTTGATGCGACAAACCCAATAGTGCTTGCGAACCTTCTCCAGCTCATCCCAGACCTTGTTCTCAGGTAAGAGCTTTTCATTACCCAAAAGTTTGCTGAGAGCAAGACCTTGTCCCAGACTCTCAAGATGCCATATACGTTTTCCAAGATTGCCAGCAGTGGAAGGGTCCTTCCATACAAGCTGATGGCTTTAACATCAACAAAACTAAGAACAGGTCCTCAAAATTGCTTCGATCACATCCCAGAAGACTTGTGCAGCCTTCTCTCCAAAAAAAGTTGTAGAAGCTCTCAACCGTGAAAACCTGAACGAAGAAGAGATTCTACATTGCAGGAGAGCAGATTTCATTTTCTTGGTTCAAGCAACGGAGTGCACGGGAATCCTGCTGCGTAAAGAACTGTGTCTGCAAGGCCCGATAGACCTCGATTAGCCATATTGTAAAAGAGCCTCAATCCCGCCAATCAATTCAGTATATGAATGATATGATATGAGCTTGAAACAGAGCACACCTACTGAGCAGAACTCAAGATCGAGACACTTGCGCGGCTTGCAGTTTGCCATAATGAATTTGAGGGGCCCCACAGCTCGATCAGTGCTTGCTGTCACAACGACCTGAATCCAAATATTTTCCAAAGCTGAATCTGAAGATATATACTGAGTCTTGTGCTGGAGTGTTCTTCGGCAAGATTTCCTGCAATGCCCACAAGGGCGCTTCAGCGCCAGAACCTTGATTTTGTGCTGGCTGACACTCCTGACTCCTGTGTGCAATTCTATCGATTGAGTCCAGTGCAATCTGACATCAGAGTCCAGGTTATGTTGGCCATCGCAAAGAAAGAAATGAGCCCTCAGCAACGCAGGATATGACTTTGGTTTGTTTACTGCCAGCGCTTGACATTGAGTCAAACGTGCTGTTTGAGAGATGCTTCCACGCTGCCTGCCCGTCGAACCATTTCCTCATCCAACACATAAGCACCACTATGACCACTAACCAGTGAAGGCAGGAAACTTCTTAGAAGAGAGAGAGAGAGAGAGATAGAGAAAAAACATAACAGAAAGAAAACGAGCACATTCTGAACCAGTACAATCAGTAAAATTCAAAGTCCGAGATTCATAGCCCCATCCATTCACATGCTTCTTTTGTTGCGCTGTCAAGGATGCTTTGGGAGCACATTTCCATTTCAACTCTTGACTCGCTCTTACTGCACTCTCCTCACCATTGATAGATTCAGACTCAGAGCTAGACTCAAAGCTGTCGTCATCATCGTACTCGTACTCTGATCGATCTGAATCAGATTCATCTGAGCTGGACTCTGCGCTGTCATACGAATCGGATGGTGTGGCCTGATGGGAAGGTGTCACAATCATAACCATCATAGGAACCAAAATACACCAAGAATAAAACCCCAACCTTGCCTCAGAATCCATGATGACTTGGGCATGGGCCTTTCTATTTTGACCCAGTATGAGCTGCGCTTGTAATGGCGACAGGCTAAGATAGATTAAACAGGGCCTGTGCTGGGCTGCCAAAACTAAGTTCTGGTTGTATTTTGGAGAAGTATCAGTTGTCATGGGAGACTCTTAAGTGCAATCGGTTGTATAGGTTGTGCCACGAAGAGGGATTTTTCCATGGCTTGTTAGGCTGTGGCAACTCTGACACCCTTGGCAAGTGTCAGTCCTGCTGAACTCCAGCCTTGGCCCCTTGCAAGAAGTCAACCACGAATGCCACTCCCAGTAGTGGCTTGGGCGATCCTAATTTACAGAAAGAGGCCACGTTTGATTGGCCAATTAGAGATTTACCGCACCCAGACGCATTGTGGCACTTTTGTCGTGAATTCAGGCCCTTAGACAGTACGTTTTCTTCTCGTCTCACCAGTCTCACACCGTACAGAGGAAACACTACCTGTTTTGATGGGGTCTGGGGTGGCTTGGTTTTTGTTGGTTGTGGTTTTTTGATTTGGTTGCTTGTTTTTTGGTTGCTGGTGTTTGGTTGTGTTCTTGTGGCTTACCTCATCATCATGTAGTGTCTCCTTTCCTTCAATGATGACCTGGGCGCACCGCCCACATGGCGTCCGCACTCGTGGAAAAAAAAGGCTCGTGATCTCGAGGAGAGCTGGCCTCAGAGGAAGATGGAGTCGCCATGTGCAAACGGCCGGAGGAAGCACCCAAATTGAGCCAAAAGGTACATGTTGTTGTCTATCGGCCACACAGAGCATAGGAATATGATTTCTCCAGCTCACTAGTGACTTGCCACTGAGGTGCAATTCCTCTGTCTCTTGGTGAGAAGGGCAGATGGCGTGGGTTCTCTGCATCCACCGTTTCAACTTCTGACACTGAGAGGATGTCATCAGCAGCTTGCGGTTGGGGCAGTAACAGCCGTGAACGAGGAGACCAGCTGCGGCAATCCCAGGACTGGTTCTGGCCGCCATGCATCATGAAAGTAGATTTGGTGCAGGCTTCAAAGCTGTTGTCCAGCGCCTTTCTGCTCGTCTCTGCGCTTGATTTCGGTTGGTCGCGCTTGGAGCATCCGACACTGCATCTTCGGCCGTGGTCAGTGCTGTTGTGCAGCAGTCTCCAGTGGCCTGGTTGTTGCCCTTCTGGGATGACCAGCCATTCCGGTGTGTGAACAGCGTCAGGGCACAGCGAAAGACAAGCTCAGGCCACACGGCCTCAGCTGGCAAGAGGTGGGACTGTAAGCGGCTCACCTTGCCTCATGATGTTCTGCCAAAGAGACTGGGAGGGAGCCAACCCATAAATCGTGCGGCGAGAGCGCAGTCTGGACGCAGGGATGAAGCGCATAGGATTTGCTGCGTGGCAAAGCTGCCAGCAACTGCAGATAGTAAACCACTTTCGGTCGTCAGCCTGGAGGATGGAGTTTTCGAAGGCTGCTTTGTCCTCAAAGAGGTCGTGGCCCCGAGGTGCCAGCAGTTCTCCAATTCAACGGCGGCCTGCGGCCAAGCTGGAACCTGGAGATCGCAATTCAAAAAGCTCCGCAGTCTGCAGGTCAAGTACAATCGCAGCCCCTGGGCAGATCCCCGAACATGCACAACGGCCGGTTAGAATGGAGGACCTGGCCAACAGGTCAGCTCCAATGCAAGGCTCTCCCGTCAATAGGGACCCAGCCACGCTATCTTCGCACCCAGCGGATGCGTTTTTTTGCACGGGTGGAGGCGCTATGTGTGCCGAGAGGCACAAGTCACCTTGATTGAATTAAATAGAGATACTATGGAGATACGAGCCAAGCGCCAGCACAAAGCACCAGAGAAAAATCACAACCAAACAAACAAAACAAACCCAAACCCAACACCAAAACAAAACCAAAACACCAAAGCCAAAAGGCCGGGCTCGTATCTCATCAGGGCTATGAAAGCCGAAGCGACTGTCGTGAAAAAGATGTGAGACGGGGCATTGAATTCGTTTTTCTGTTTGCACTCAGTACTTGAAGATCAGGAAATTCCTTTTTGCGGGCAGTGAGTACTTGTGTGACAATATTGGTGCTAGCCCATGTGCGCCAGTAGTGTCCCAGCGTGTGCAGGAGTTTGGAACACCGCGAGCATTGGCGTTGATTCGCACCCAGCGGATGCGCAGGAACAACGTGTAGCCACGGCTGAAATTGACCTCAGTAATGAACAGGAAGCGAAGGAACAAGGTGGCACTGCTGCCACTGACCTTCAACTGGTATCGGAACATCCTCTGCACACATAGCGCCTTGACCCGTGCAAAAAAAACTCTTCATATCTTCTTTTGCTGACCTCATGCTTCTCGCCTCCCCTTAGAGAGGCGTGTGTGTGCCCAGGGATTCTTTTTGAATTGTTTTGGCAGGAGGCCTGGAGCCGATTTGCCATCCAGTCCAACGAAGCCATGGCATCATCACTTCCTTTGAAGACCCCCAGACTTGTTAGGGCTTTCCTGGACCTTTCAGGATTTGGGTTCTCAGGCCGGCGTGTGTCACCGCTGTCAAGTCAGTGTGCATTCCACAAGTGTGACATTTTGATCACGCAATTCGAAGAGTGCAACCTCGGGGGGGAGTCTTGTGGCAGTGCTCAGTCAAACAATGCTGAGGAAAACGTTCGACACGACGGTTTTGTGTTGCCAACACACTGAACTCGGTCACGTTTCAATGGCAACAACTTGGGTGCACAAATCGTGGTGAATGGCCTTGACAGGCTGCTCAGTTTGGACATGTCATACTGAATTGTGCCCAAAGTACGATCTTGTGCCCCGCAAGATGAACAGTGACTTGGGGCTCGTTAGCATCCTCACTTCAACAGACCGGATTGATGTTTACAATCGCTTGTTCCAAAGAGACGAACCGTGCCATGTCATGAAATCAAAATCATGCTTTGATACCTTTTAGAAAAATGGCCCAGCTGTTTCATGTTAGCCTGTTTCAGCTGCCATTGGCCAAAAATAGATCTCAAGGCTGTTGCGTTGTTCCACCCACCAAAAGCCATCTTGCTGGTGTGAGCAGATCATTTTGCGAGGGTCCTGCAAGACATACAGATTGACTTTCAGCTCGTTCATGTGTGTTTGTGTTGGCATGAAACCTTGTTTTCATGCATGCATTGCAGGAAACAATTCAATATTTTTGCCCGCAGCTGCAGGTTCCGACATTCCACATTAAATGCACGTTCGTCAAACAAAATGGTTGGTTCGTTTCAGAAATCAACACAGCCATATAAGGTTGTCCAAGGGGTTTTCCAATTGGCAGTCTAAAACCAGATCGTTGCTGTTGTTTTTGGAGTATGCTGCTTGCATGGATGATGCTTTGTTGAAACCAGTTAAGGCTCCTGCTTGGTTTTCCTTGCTTTCCTCACAATGCTTTGCCCTTTGTGAGGTAAAATGCTCCGTAAAAATTGGTTCTCCATGGGTGTGGGATGATGAGTGGCAGGACTTGCAGCATAGGGTCAATTTTTGGGTCCAAAAATGCTCGCCTGCAAGGATTATGTAGAGAAGACGCCTGACGTCACTGCTGTTGGCAGCCTTGTGGAAGTGAAAGATCCAAGAGCATTGAGAGCTAGGCTGGCCTTTTTCGTGTTTATCATTTCAGTTTGTAGCTTTTGTGAGAAACAGGTAAGTCACATGAATTGTAGTGGTGGGTTTGAGCCTTCCTCACCGGCACCATGCTGGCAAATAAACAATTTCAATGATTTTTTGACAACCTTAGTTTCCAGCATTTAATTAACCATGTGCCCTCCTCATGTTTGACAGCAAGTGGTTGGCGGTGCAAGGGAATTCCGAGCAGACATGGTCCATGGCCCGGATTCTACCAACGAGGACATGCCACACGTGCATTGTGATCACTGTTACTGTAGAATGCTTGCGACTTCCCCAGATCCCGTGACCATGGCAGGATATCACAATGTGTGACCTGGCTCCTGCTCTGGAGGCAGTCTTGAATGGTTTGTGCCCCAGTTATCTGAGATGTACTGCCCTTGCACGACTTAAAGACTCTTGTTGTGCCACACATGTAAGGAACAGACTCCCTTCTCCTTGTTGCCGGAGTTGAGAATGGTGGGCAGGTTCATCGACTTCGCGAGAGCTCATTTGCATTTGTTCCATTTCATGGATTTCAATATCCAGTCTGGAGTGTATTTGACTGCATCACTTGGACCAGGCAGAGCTGATGGATGGAGGAGAAGGTCTAGCAGCTGCGGCTGTGTGGCAGCTTGCTCATGAACTTCATGAAAGACAGGCTTCCTTGACTGGCTGGCACAAAAAGATGGCACAGTGTTCTTTCAAGGCCTTCTTCCGCCGTTCAGGCCAATCATCGCACCAACGGTGCTGTGGGGTACACCTATCACATGAGGCCACTTTGCGAGTCTTCAACTTCTCACTTTACTTCTTTCTTTTTCTATTTTTATTTCCACTCATTTTTTCTTCTCAACCTGTCTTTGCTCACTTTGTGCATTGGTGAGGCTTCAATCATTTCAGCTTGCGGGCGATACTATTCTAGATCTCCTCACCGATTCACTTGAAGCAGCTCGACTCGTGGAGCTTCCAGTGGGAGTCGTTGCTGAAGGCCAACTTGAAGACTGGAACGGACAAAAGATAGGAGAGAGAGAGAGAGAGAGCGCGTACTGAGTGACAACGCGGCAGAGAGTATCAGGTGTTCGCACAGCTAGCGCAACGTCTGCAGATGAGTCTTGACTGGTGTGAAACGAAGTTTGAGAGTCATACCTGTCCAAGAGACAGTTACCACGGCAGCCTGGAACTGAGGAGTTTATGAAATATGTGGAGGGGGCTCAGAGGCGGCGAGACCCTTCAACTCGCCAGCACAGCAGCACTTTCTACATCATAGATGTCACACAGGCAAGGTGGTTGCTGCACGTTTCACTGTAAATTACAGGGCTGCAGGTCCGGTGCTGATTGGTTGCGTTCTTCCTCAAATGCGGTAGTATTGCCTGGGCCAAAAAGTTCTTGATAGAAAGGACTGTGGTATGAAAGGTAGATCGTCGACTCTGTTCTACCTCTTCGAGTTGTCAGCAAGAGAAGCACAAGAGCTTGCCAGGCAGACTACCACGAGGGATGGGGCCTTCATGGACAATTTATGCTGGTAGAATCTGCGGTTATGGACTGCTTGGCAGAGGACGCGACTCACAGAGGTTCAGCACAAGGGATGCTTTTCCAAATGAATAGCATGAAAACCCTTCATCGAAGGGTTTCAACTTGGAAGCTCATGCAGGATAAAGGACTTGTACAGCTTCGCGAAGGGTATGACCGCTACCGCGGAGAGACCAAGTTGCACTCAGTTGACACAAATGTCTCATGGTAAAATATACTTTTAGGCAGAATCTGTAAGCGAAAGACGTCACAAGAAGCTTATGCGTGTTTTTTTCAGGTGTACCATATGCGAAGTTTGGTGAAGTCATGGAAAAAGTTATCGGAGACTGAAGTCGGAGTGAACGGCTCTTCGTTGACATGGCTCCTCCGGGAACTCTTTACTGGCCTGCAGCTAAGACTCCTCCAGAGTCTTTTAATGTCAATATCTACTGCACTACATTCTTCTCCCAAGAAGCATCAGGACGCTGCAGAGTGGTCTTAAATCAAAAGAGTTTGTACAACATTATGCATGTTTCATTTTTTGGTTCGAATTACAAGCTCACAGCCACGCCCTACAGGTGGCAGTGTCGAAGCACATGTGCTTTTCTATTTGGGGCAAGGAACGCCTGCAGTGAGTCGCTTTTCGGCACATCATGGCAGTGCAACACAGAATGATTGGTTCCAATAATTATTCAATCATTGTTGGAAGCTTGACTCTTTGCAAACTGCTTGAGGCATTGCATTGATGGAGTTGATGGAGGACTTCAACAAGGTTCAAACCAACCCGGCAGCTTTGTCTGCAGTTGCATTTCAGCAGGGTCCTTGCAGCATGACAATGATGGACAACGATGAGTCGAACGTCGCACTTTGTTTTCCAACGTGGGGGTATTTTGGACCAAGGTTACTCATGACCATCGTGTAACTGGGTGGGCGCGTGCAATGCGGGCGGAGCGGTTGTCCTTGAAGCAGGCCTTGAAGGGAGTCAGAATTAGTGTTTGGCTGCTTGGACAATTTGCGTTGTGGCTTCAATGACCTGAGGCAGAGAGAAGTGGTGTGGACAAAGATACCCGCAGTCTTATTCATGAGCTGGAAAAGCGCCTGGCAACTGCGGAAAGGCCCTTGCCATGGTAACCTGCAAGAAGGTTAGGGTTTCCTTGACATTTATTGAGGAAGAGGGTCACATTCAAAAGAGAGTCGTTTCAGGGTGAAGGAAGAAGCCCAAAGAGTTGCAGACGCATCTTGACAAAACGCTGATGCTTGTTGTGTTTGATTTTAGCCTTAGCCACATTAACGTGGGCATCATCAGCCTGCAAATATAACCTAACACTATACAGTTAGGTTCAAAGATTCTTGATTGAGAGCAGCTTAGGCTCGGCAAGAGAGAGCCCACGCCTTTCAAGACAGGTATGTCACCGCTCTGGAAAATCAGGAGCGGGCCGGGTTGTGGCAAATCTGTGAGAAAGAGGACTAAGGTCGGTGCTCAAGTTCACTGTGCTGGTTGCATAATTGCACATGTTCTTTTCGCAAACCTTTTGTGCAGTGCGTCTTGCGATGAAGGAGTCAATGAACGAAAAGCTGATTGAAGCAGAAGAAGAACAGCTCAAAGCTATGCAATCTCTCGTCCTATTCTGAGATTGGTCAGTTCTGTATCAATGTCATAAAACAGGGCTAGGGAGATCTGAGGTTGAAGCACAAATGGAGGCTTCTGAAGTCAGGGATGAATGCAGCAGCCTAGCCAGCATTTTGGTACACGTGGCATTTGCGTGGCTCTCAATAGGACCGGATTGCCCCACGTTTCGACAGCATAAAGGTGAGATGCAATACATGGATAATGTGCTTTTGATGATGCTCGAGCAAGAAGTGGCCGACTTAAAGGTGCGGGCAGAAGATGAAGATTGGAAGACAAATGACATTGAATTTTGTAGACGAATGACGACAGGAAGCTGCCGAGGAACAAATGGGCGTTCAGGCCACTGTCGATTTCGCTCAGCAGTGAAGAAATCCGTCAGCCAAATGAGTTGCTGAACTACGTGGAACGCTCAGCTGCACTTTCCAGGCCAAGAGCTTGGAAGAAGTGGAAACCTCCGTGGAGGAGCAAACGTGCAGCAGAGCCATCATAAAGTAGAGTCTTTACGGCAGGTGAAGTCCTTTAGTGACCAAGCAAAAGAGTTGCCAAGAGAATAGTCGCAAGCTGGAGACTGCAAAAGCTTGTGGACAAAGTGGCTTTGTTTGAGGACCTGCGCGCTCGCAACGACGCGCTCTCAGAGGCCAAGCTCCAAGTCGAGAGCCAAAAGAACATTGAGCGAGGTGCCAAATGGGCAGATGAAGCTGTTCGGATGACGTGCAAAGCTAGTTCCGATTGGCAGGTGATCTGGAAAATCGCATTCGTGAACTGCAGCTACAGCTTCGGGAGGGTCATTTGGCAGAGAGCGTTCAACATGTTGAGGACAGGGGTTTGGTGTTGATTAGGACAAATACCCTTAGGGAAGTGTCCAAGCCTAATGAGCTTGACCTTGTGTCGCCTCAACTTGCCCTTTTCACAACACAGATGCTCATGACGGTGAGAACTTTGGGTTGGACCCTTTGAGTAGGAAAGGCTTCGTGATGGTGATAATGGGGCCGATGAACAAACGTGACATGTGGGTGTTCATTCAGGAGAAACGCAAAATAGAAGAGAGCAAGAAAGAAGAGGTGGAAAGACTGAGGTGCTGCCTTTCAAGAACTTTGTTGGTTGAACCCTACAACGACGTTTTTGTTGCAACTTTCTTCAATGCATTGGCAGGCAAGTGATGGAAGACGAGCGAAGTCGTGCTCGTCAAGTCATTGATGATGGAGAACTCGCTGTGCGGCGTCAAATCCAGAAAGAGAGCCTTGCACTTGCATGACTTACAAGAGGGTCTTTGCTGTGCTGCCTTGAAACCTGGTTTGACTCTTGTTACACCGACTGTGTTGATATGGAGTGGCCTTTTTATATCATGAGCCTGCCAATTGCAGCTTTGGCGCCAGAAACAAACACGTTGCTGATTCCTGCTTGTGGCTGTGATTGAATCGTTCAACCATTTGGAATTCTCTGAGAAAGATCTGCTGGGTCAGTATGTCTGCGACTGTATGCACCTGCGGGCAGTATAGATGTTGCGGTATGGCATGCAGACATTTTTGCAACCCCAGGAAGGAGGAGATTCAGAATGAGTTGATGGAGGACCTGTGGAGATGTCAGTTTTGCCAAAGGTGTCAGATCTTGAGGGGTCATGATTGACAGCTTTAGGGCATAGCCTATTCGAAAGCTCGTGAAAATAGTCTTAGCAAGTGGGAGGAGCGACAACGTATGGAGGCCACCAAAGAGCAGCACCAAAGGGAAGCTGAAGCAGCTCTTGAAGAAGCGAAAAGGCACAGAAACAGTTGAACTCCCCAAAGCAGTGATTCTCGAATCTTTAAGTGAATGATCTCCGAGAGGAATGCTGAAGAAGAAGCACAAGAGGTGCAGCTGCTTGGCCTTATGAGCTGGTCTTGATGTTTATTGCATATTTACAAATTTTAAGAGCGTGTGCGCTTGTCCTTTCTTTTTAAGCACTTCAAGAATGTTTATTTCAACTATATAAGTTCTTTTTTGAAGGTTTAATTCCTCAAGATTGAGCCTTAGACGACATCGACTTTGGCAAAAGAACCTGAACTTCTCTTTAGCTTGAGGCGATTGCGCCGAGAAGATCAGGAGCTACGGGAAGGGCTGACGGATGAGCAGCAAGCAGAGCGCCGAGCACGACAGCAGCACCAAGCAGCGATGGAAACTCTGCTCCCTTAGGGACACAAGAATACTTTGTCCATATTTAGTAAGGAATGGGCTTGGCTGGTGGCTGACCATTTTCCTCTCATTCGCACACCAAGTGATGTCATTTGGTGCTAAGGAGGATTTACAAAGTGCTCGTCGAGATTTTCATAAGCAACTCTTGCAGATAGCCGAGAGTCCGCCAGACGGCCTCTCGTCCGAGCTGGTCATGGAGCGACTTTGAACACTCTAACGTTTGTGCTCTGATGAGATGGCGAACATATATCTGAAAAAACAAAAACACATCTTCTTTCAGTAGGCCTTCTTTGCGAGAGGTCCTGATGCACCAGCTCGAAATGCTGCTGTGGACAAGCTGCGAGGCGATGGCTATGACCATGGAACACATTCTGAGTTCTTTTCGCTCCGCCACAGGACAACTTACAGCTGCTGGTCAAAGAGAGCTGGAGTTTCAAGGTCAACTGGATGCGGCACAAGACAAAGTTGTTTTTCAGCTTGCAATTAGACTCTTCACTGCGGATGTCCTTCTCCTCTCAGATCAACGAACAAGAAACATAAGAGATGAACGGGAGCTTTTTTTCCCGGACTTTTCCAGTCCCCCCTACACCTACACTTCATTCATTCTGTGCTTCTCTGCTGAGCGGACATTTCGTTTGCATGCATTTGCCGTGATTGGAGTTATTTCGTTGCTATTACAAATTCTGAACGTCATGGTTTTGCCGTTCTTTTTTCTGTTTTTTTTTTGTGTGTGTGTGTGTGCGCGCTAGTCTAGTTCTCGATGTTGTTACCATTTGACTTTTCCTTTAGTTTTACAATGTTTTTCTCAACTTTTGCTATGTTCTAGTTACTGTGAGTGCATTTTTGCACTTGTTTTGCTGCTGTTTGTTTACCATTCCTGCTTGTTTGTCTCTTTTTTGCATTCTTTCACTCATTCTGGGGGGTTTGTCTTTCGGAAAATCATTGATTACGCCTGGTGCCTTCTCAGTTGATTTCATGGGTTGTCAAAAACACGCCACAGTCCCTGGATGCGTCGGAGCCCAATTGTGAAGATCACGATGTAGTATAATCCACCTTCGATTTGGTACAAAGGAACCAGAATCAGAAGTCCCAGGTTTGATTGCAATGAACCTGTGAATTGCAACACAAACTAACTGTATTGGAGAAAAATCCAGTCCGACTCCAAAGCCTGATTTGAGCTCATTTGAATTTGACTTGAAGGTGTTTTCCACATTAATAGTCAAGCGAGATCTGAGGTAGACCTGCAAAGGAACCTTCGGCGAGTTTGTCGGGCCGCGCTCCTTGTTTGCAAAAAGGTGCCAAGTGTATGACACGCCTCTGCAAGACAATGAACAGAAGATGCAAGGTTAGATTGGGCACCTGTAAACGCTGATGACCAACGTGCGCGGATTGAAATGGCCTTGGAATCTGCTGGAGGAGATGATTTGTCACAAAAGCCGCGTCTCGGCTTTGGAAGTATGAAGAGCCTTTGGGTTTCTGAAGTTTGCATGTTTCCGCTGCAAAGTCTTTGAGGCTTGTGATTGGACTTAGTCGTGCACAAGAGCTGCAGAAGGAGCCGGGCCCTCAAAGGGCTTGCAAGGGTTTTGGGAAGGGAGATATAAGACATGATCTAGAAGCACAATTGATATATATATATATAATTAGTCCTAAAGGCGGTTCCTTTCCCTTCATTGATCTAGGCTGCAAACTGTACAGATTGGATATGAATTGCTGTCCAGACCTGTGGCTGGTTGGTAACTTGTGCATAGATGGCAATTCAAGCGAGCAAAGACTTTGCCTTAGCCTCAGGCTCAATTCTCTTCAAGATCAGTTAGTTCGTCAACGTCAGGCCGGTCAACTTGGTAGCACCAGCCCTTCCATGTCAGCCAAAGAAGGTGACCCCTCTATCGAAATGTAAACCAGGGAGGAAGAGCTATTGAGCACTGCAACTGTTTGAATCTGTAAGTTGCACTTTGTTGGACGTGGGGTTTTGTCGCTTTTCTTTGCCGATCCCTGCTCCAAATCTCAGGAAGTCACTCTCCTGCGAGGACAACATGAGAGCGAGATCCAAAGACGTGAAGAGGCCGCTACCAAGTCGGACAGTTTTCTTTGTTCTTTTAATAGAGTGTGAAAGCTTTTACTCTTACTATTTATGTGGACTGTGCTGCTTACAGCCAGGAGAAGGTTAACTTGCAGGCGAGTTTGGACTCTTTGATCATCTCGACTTACTGAGTGGCTGCGGTTTGAGATTGAGAATGTGGCTGCAGGTTGCCTTGGGGCAGGCGGAGGCAGCTCTACACCAGAGCCAAGCTACTCTTCAAGATGCCCGGGCGAAAGCGGTGGCAGCATCTCAATCGCACTTGTCGTTGAGATCCATGGGGTCCAGCCAAGACATTTGAGGTCCAATGTAGCGGGTGTGTACCGGACTTTGAATTCGATCTAAGGAAAAGGTTTTGTTCTACTTACAGGACTACCAAGCATCCTACACTACAATTCGCATCTTGCCGTCGGAACATCAACAACGTGCGTAAGGCCGAAGATGCGCTAGCCAGTGCAGAAACAAAAGCATCAAGCGCAAGTGGAGAACGAGGGCGTTTGTCCCAGTGCCGCTGGCAACTCTTGAAACAATGCCAGAATTGACATACAAACGTGGATGCATAGATATATGTGTGTAGACGTTGCGGACATATTTGCCTCTCCAACTTATTGCCAGGATTCAGGATCGTCTGCTTGAGGAGGCCGCGGCAACGTAGCCCTTTACATGAACATTCTTCAGCACCGAGCCAGCGTTTTGATTTGACCCCTCAATATTTAAGGCATATCGCTCCTAGGTTTATCAAGCATCAAAGAGCACTTGCAACCAACATGCACGACAAACATGCTCACTTTTGGAGCAGGTCCAGTCCTTGCGCAATGCGCCTCAGTTTGCAGCACATGTGCCTGCCAATGCCTTGCCGGCATGGGCTTTGCTGTTGCAACCTTGGGCCGCCTTGGGCCTCTTTTGCTCGATGAGCCTTGCAGGCAGATCTACAAGAACAGAACCGGTCTTTGCAGGACGCATACTCAGAGTTTGTTGATCATAGAGAAGAAAGACAGCTTTGCTGAGAAGATAATTCAGGCTTCTCACGTTCTTTCATACTTCATTTTTTGTTCATTGTTTTGTTTGTTAAATGTGTCACCGCAGTGATCTGGGTTCTTTGATGATGAGCGTTATTGACCAAGATAATAAAAGACATCAAGGGTTCCTGAAGGGGTCTTTGGAAGGCCCGTGTGGCCTTTCTTGAGCAGCAGAGCCCTCCAGACAAGCGGGCACAGGCCTTGACCAGTCTCGAGGGGTGTCATGCTTTCGTCGAAGATAATGAGAAAGTATGTAAGTATGTACTCTGTGATCAAAAACGCCTGAACATTCAAAATTGGAGTTCTCTCTATCTATATATATACATAGAGCTGATGCCCCTTGCCGAGGACCCCAATCAAGAGCTGGAAGATCAGTTCTCCACCAACTCCCGCTAGTTCGATAGTGAATCCAAAGACTTCCCCTGCATCGCTACTAGTAGCAGTGCATCGCTATTAGTAACAAGGGCACTAGTAGCTTCTTCTTACTAGTAGTAATGCAGTGGTTACTAGTAGCGATGGCCTCCAACCACCTAGTAGCTTCTTGTTACTACTAGTAAGGCACCTGTGGATCTGGACAGTTGGAATCATTCGGGCAAGAGTCTGCCATCCAAAAGGCTCAACGCCTGGCCTTTCTTGAAAAGAGTGTCCGCAGCCTGGAAGCAGAGAGGCCGAAGCATTTACTATGATGGGGTTCAATTGCCATTTTGTGTGGTTGTTGGAGACAGTCGCACATGCAACAGGTGGGTTCACACTGCCCGAAGTGGCCTGTACTGGTCAGTCAGTCCCAAAACTCTGGCCATTGATTTGCGGAAGTCCAAACGGCATGAGTAGAGAGCCTGGAAAGGAGAAGTGAATGAATTAGGTGAATAGCATGTGCTCAATTAGAAGTTAAACATGATAGTGCAACAATGTGCAACCTGAAAGGAATCTGAGGAGGTGTAACCTGAGATTCGGATATTTTGTTCTTTGAACATGGTTCGGGAAAGAAGTAAAGCACGGCTTCCAGACGTTTAAAGTTTAAGGGCATTTCCTTTTGGCGGCTGGTGGAGTATTGGCGGAGCAAGTATCATCGGGCATGCTAGTTTGACTGTGAGAATTGGTTCTGGAAGTTTCTTGCGGTTCACAAACGCCTTTCTCATTTTGGGCGATAAGCTGCTTGTTCGAGCAGGTCAGAGCTGCTTGTTCGGGCAACAGTGGCTGAAGAGCAGCTCAAGCAGCTGCAAAAGCATTTGAAGGAAGCAAACATTCAGATAGTTGTGAAGGTTTGTGTCGCTTGTGTTTGTTTGAAATGATGATCCAGAGAAGCAGAGGAGATGATGGAAGATTACCAGATGCAGATAATGAACTTGAAGCTGAAAGTGAAAGGATAACATGAAGCTAGCAGCAGACAACAATTCCTGACGCCTATGTCCGAATGAAAGAGATACTTCGCTTTGCACAGTGTTGAAGCGATGTGATAAAGACATGTCTTGAATTTGACATGGGTGTTTTTGCAAGTTGTAGATCGATATATATCTCAATTTGCCTACGATCTTGGACATAGCAATGTGCATAGAGACTTGACAATCCTGTTGGGGCAAATTCTGTCTCACAGTGAGTGGACATGTTGAGTGAACATAGCTCGTTTGTCCATCATTCATTCTTGGAAAAGGAAAGGGTCCTCCATGTTTGCACAATGATACATTGCATCAGTCTTCCTCACTGCAGGGAACCTTCTGGTTTCTTCTTTGCATGCTGCAGCACGGTCTCAAACTAACAAGTTGGAGTTGCGCAACCTTTGACTTTGCAGATAGTAAACCTGCACCCATGCTTCACAACTATTGTTGTTTATGTTCTTGTTTAGCCATGGTCACATCACGCTGTTGAACAATGATTTGTCAGCCCCACACGTCAGGCCAGTTTCAGGAGGCTTTGTTTTGTATGCCAGCCTTGGGCTGATGAGTTGCAGAGAAGCAGTACTGACACTGCAAGGACACAACCATGGTTTAGAGTTGCCTGCCAATGGGCAATCAGGTGGCGAGTACTTTGTTTTGGAGTTCACCAATCCATGCGCGTCATATTGGAAACGGGAAGACACAACTTGACTTTGTGAATTGAATGTGGTCCAGTGCTTATTTGAACAGCCTTGTACTTCTTCTGTGCTCAGTTGACATGTGGCTGCTGTGCCAAAGAAGGCGGCAGTATTGTAGATGACCGACAGGACTGAAAGCACATCCTAGACGTTGAAACTAACCGATCTGTATAAATATCAAGTATCCAAAGTGCGTCCTGTAAGCCAACAAGTTGTTTGCCAGGATTCACGCCCTTTCTTTTGCAGGACTGGAGTGGGACACTGGATTCATACTGCAATATGTAAACGACAGAAGAACATGGCATGGAAAGGATGTAAGGATAATGGCATCGAAAGGCTACGTTGTGACAGGAAATCGTGTGGCTTGGATGAGTTGGAATCGGACCTCTTCACTTGCGATCCGGCTGGGGTGTTTTTCGAGGACACCCTTGCCGCTCTTGATGTGAAGGACTGCATCGAGATAGCTCCTTTTAGACGTGCAGAGTTGGATTGACTTGGCTGTCAGGAGAGGCTCAGCTTTAGCTTCGCAGGCGTGTTTTTTCTTGAATTGAGTGGGTAGTTGTTGTACGAGCCAAGCTTTGCTAAGCTCATTCCATCTTAGGCTCTTCAAATCTGGCTGCTTTGAGATGGGGCTTTGTGCACGGTGCCAACCCAAAGGCAGCTTGTCGCTTCAGACGCCACTGCTTTTTGAAAGCCAAGCATGCTAAGCCATGTGCCCTATTAGACAAAGGCGCTTGGGTTTCCAACTGAAGTGGAATGCCATTGCGAGGTTTCAGACAGCAATGGAACTACCCTGCTGCACGTCGCTGCAAGAGCTGGCAGCTTTCAAATAGTGAAGGAGCCAAAGCTGCCCCTATGACTCAAACCAACGAGCTTCCATGTAAGAAAAGAAGATTGGCTGGAGTACAGCAACACATGACATAGCTATCAATTTCAAAGAAACACAGACATTATCCACAGCAAGCTCGGGTCATTGATTAGGGGGGTATGTCCGATAATTTGCTGCAGACATGACCAGAGAAGGAATATTTGTTGCTGGTGTCCCTGCTTGGTCTTGGTCATGCTGCATTTTCCTGACAGGACCTTGTTCTTCGGTCAATTGACGTTAATGCAGTAGATTGTGAGGAACTCAGACTCAGTGGGGGGTGTCAGCACAGCAGGAGATGACTTCCCACGGACCTTCTCAAGTGTTCTTCGCGTTGACAAAAAGGCCTTTGTTGGAACCTTCATTGTGATAGAAAAAGAACAAACATATAAGGTCTTTCAATTTGGGTCCCTTTAATAAGGCCGCCTTTATATACTGTAAATGGGAGCTTATGAAAGGGGCCGAAACACAATTGTTTTTTTTACTGTAAAAAAAAATGTTTTTCCATATCATTGCTTCTCCTCTTCTGTTTATTATTCTTTTTTTTGGGGCAAATGTTTCATTGTTTGTCATACTGGGCTACCAGCGGTGTTTCACAGCTCGCCCAACCATTCCTTTTCTGTGTCAGCATATGACGCAGACGGGCGCAGTAACAGAAAAAGACTCAAGGTCAACAGGTTTCGTTGCACTGTCCAACAGCTTTCGCCGATGCCATAGTTGGACGCAGCATCTCACAGTTTAGCACGATGCAAGGATCAAAAGCGTGTCCATGTTTTCTGCTTTCACGCGAAGGCGCCTTAGATCGGGGGTACAGAAAGGGCGTACACCGCGCAAGCTCAGGCCAAAGCTCCTTGTTTGGCCAGTTCCCTCAAATCTAGGAACCACATGAATAGTGCGAGCGCTTCTTCAAGGAAACTCTTCCCCACCTGAAGAAGCGCGAGCTTTCCTGGGTCTACTTAGTCTACTTGAGCTGAGTAGCTACCTCTTACTACTAGCTACTTAAGCTACTATGGCTTCCCCCCCAAAAAAAGGAGCATGAGCCACATTTGCAGAAAAAAAATCCGAGGTGCTGGTTGGACACCCCTCCATGTGGCCAGCTGCATGGGACGACAGGCGCCGTTTTGAAGAGTTGCCCTAGGACAATGCTTGTGCGATTCCCTAGTAACAATGCTTGTGCTTCTAGTTACTAGGAAGCTTTATTGTTACTACAGGTGAAACGATTCCCAGTGAAACGATTCCCAAGGAAGCTTGTTTGAGCCAGCAAAACTAACACTTTTGGTGGTTGGAGGACGTTTCACTTTATTTGCTTCAGATGGGCGCCAAAATAAGCAGGACGGCGAGGCCACCTGGACGACATCCGACTTGATTTGCGTTGTCTTTAATTTGAACTGGGTTTAACATGCTGTGACCGGAACGCTTTATTGCTAGGCTAGGACTTCTGTTTCGAAAGCAACTTACAATGCTGGTTGCCCATATTCCTTTCCAAGGGGCTTCACGCCTGAGAACCTGTGCAGCCACCCTCATACAAAGGAGGCTGATGGTGTGTCCTTGCTTGTGAGTATCTAGTCGGTTGAAGTGTTCGAGTAGAGGTGGTGGTTGGCTTCGAAGAACGCCGGCCCAAAGTGCCTCAGGCTCATATCGCTGTTTGTTTGCAAGATGGGAAATTTGCTTTTTGAAAGAGGGTGTTGCAATGCATCCTCCAAAGTACTGACTGTGAGCTGTTTCAGCTATTCGAGCAACCGAACATGCATAATTGATTTTAACCGCATCCACCCAACAATGTCCCTCACCATTGAAAGTACACCCACTAGGAGGTTTCCATGCACTGCTTGTCCGATGTTGAGAGCAATCAAAATTGCGAGTATTGAGTATTACCATTGGCCTTGCAATGAAGCCACTGAATTGTATAAGATTTGCTTTTCAGTTCATATCTTTGACATGATACAACACGACTCCACTCCACTCGGCAAAAATATTTCTAAGATGGCCTGTAGGCTGATATGAAGCCATGAGTCGAATTGCCCTCAATGAACGGCGTCACAGCGCAGACTTTGGGTGGCGAGCAGCCTCTTGGCACAGAACAAGGCGGTGCTCCAGTGTTCCAAGAAATATCCCAGATCATACGCCATCATAGTCATGCGCAAATTGCAATTCTTCAGGAGATATACGCCTATCTGGCCCGTTCCACCCTACGCAAAGAAAAAGACAGTTCGAATGATGAAGAAAAAGCGTATAACCGTATATTTCCGTTGATGCTTTTTGCCATTTCCGTGAAACATTGTCCAAATGCGATGCAGGATCCCCATCATGGTCTTTTGATCATTCTCTTCCGCCGGTCGTTCCTTTGGCCTGGGCCGGGGCACAAGTTGCTGTTAAAGTTTGGTCTCTTTTCCGTGCAATCCGTTGACACCCAGATTTGCCGGCGTTCTTTGTGGATTTTTGATAAAACTGAGCAAGTTCAAAAACTACATGCGGTCGACTCACCCGAGGCTAAGATTCAACCACCAGCTGCTAAGTCGCTAGGTCATCAAGCCTCTACATTGCGGGCCATCGTTCGCTATCTCGAAAATACATTGCAATGCAAACTGTTCCCACACTACAAAAAGTCCTGTGCTTCCTCGTTGGCTAGAATGGGCTTCCATCGGAGCTTAGTTGGCGAAATGGCTTCACGCCCCACTCTACCAAATGCTGATCAGGTGGTTAAATTTCTTGGTGACTATTCCTCGTTACTTGGCCAGCCATATCCATTAAATGTGCGCCTTCCCGTTGTGCCGGTTTCCGACTTCGCAAAAACCCTCCTGGATCTCCCCTCTGAACCAGCTTTTCAGAACCGCCAGAATCTTTACCAGAAAGTAATAACATTTATTCGCAACGATATTCTTGAAATACCGATTGAATCTTGAATTAGGTGCCTCCCTTTCCGCTTTCGTAGCCTAATTCACTTGTGCTTCTTCTCGTGTCTTATACCGTGAAGTTGCTTGTGGTCGTGTTTGGTTTCACTGCATGTTTTTGTTCATATGGTTCTTGTACCTATTTATCCCTCAGGCACCCTACCTATGTGGAAGGGCTTTGAGGGGGGGGAGTGGAGTCCGCAAGTTCTGTGTGTGGTGTTCGGTTGTGGTTTTATGCTAAGGACCAACAGCCTGAGGAGACACAGGTCCGGGTTGTCTGGGTCATCTGGATCCGGCGTGTGAATTTTGGGACGAACTGAAGTTGAGCTCTCCACGGTATTCGAGCGCGATTTGTGCCAGGAGCCAAAGTCTTCCAGCTCCAAGCACGCAGTGCAGCATGCAGGCTTTGTATGAATCATGAGTTTGTTTTAGCCGTATGTAGCACGAGTTTGCTTCTGTGGTATGTACCAGGAGTTTGCTCGCTCCATGTTGCTTCATTACATTGGAGGCCACTGCTCCAATGCCTCTACTCCAACTGTGACGATGAGCCATTTCGGCAGTGAAGCCGACGGTGACTGGCAGCTGCTTGAACGACAGGGTCCTGGGACCATCCGACAGACACCAGGTATAGAGCAACACAAGCAGGGCGTGCACCGTCATTCGGCTCAGGTTGCAGGCCATGCGGCTGGAAAACAAAGAAGTGGATCTTCGTTGCTCAGAAACTGAAGCGATGATCCAATCGAAAGCTGCAAGCTTAGCTTGTCCACCAGCACTGCGACGCTCTGGGACGCAGCGGGAAAGAAACAAATGTGGATCTTTTTCGAAATTGAGTTTCCCGTGGCTTTTCCCAACTTGTTCCAAACTTCTCAAGATGCTGTGATGCGACAGGTACGGCAGCTGCAAAGAGGCCGTGAGCAACTCATAAAGGAGCAGAAGCAGCTGCAAGAGATGCAGCGTGCGCTCAAAAAGCGGCAGATGCATGAGCAACAGGTCTCACTTGAGGCGCTTTTCATTGTGGCAGACAACCAGACAGCTCAGCAGACAGCCTGCATGTCTGTGTAGTTTTTGTCGTTTGTTGTGAATTTTGTCTTTGTTTTTGATTTCTCTGTTCTTCACATCGCAGTATGATATCCGGTGCGCGCTCCCTGAAGTTGGGATAGGCGATGCAAGACGAGGAGCAATACATATTGCACACAGATGTCAGAGAGCTGGGCGCACAGATATTGTTTGGCTTTGACATGCTATTAGGTTGGAGGCTGTAAATATGGAAGCGGAGGCCACAACTCAACAACAGTCAATGCACTGCCCCACAACCGACACACAATGTATGTGCACCCTTCTCTCAAACCACCAATACGGAGCGGAAGCGAAACTATTTCCAACACGCTATGGCTGAGCACGTCGAATGCGCGTCCGCTATCAGCACATCAGGGCACGTCTTGAACCCCAATGGTAGAGGAATGATCTCTTTGGTCAATGGATGTCTTCATTTTCACACAGCCCCAAAAATTTTCTTGACCAAAGTTCGAATCGTCCAGTAAACAAACCAGGTTCAGCCAATCGGTATCACCATACTTCGTCTCCAGCTGTTTCACCTGTTTCCGTTTCCTTCCTGACACAAAATTAGGGTCGAACACAATTCTCCAGGTCGTTTGGTTCAAAGCTTGTATAAGCTGTTCACCCTTCCAAGGCTTAGTTAAGCCGTCTGCAAGTTCCTGATCTCCTGACACCCAACGACATCGAACGTTCGCCTGATTCAAACGTTCACGGATGCCTAAGACCTCAATCGAAGTCCTTCGTTCCTCCATCTGGAGGCCACATGTCTGTACTCTCTCAAGAGCATCATAAACATTCTTAGCATCACTCAAAATGCATGACTCTTCAGCAGCTAGTATGTTGTCCGGGTTTCTGAGGTCCACATGTCCAGGATGTTTCATCAAGTAAACAAACAGTTTCACAAATTCATGTTCGTCAAGTCCGTTTCCTGTCATCTGGACTTCTGCGCTAGTTGAGGATCTGGCAATTCGTCGAAGGCGCCGACTTGTCCAGCACAGCACGGAAAAATGACTGAGCTTTCCATTCAGGGTATCTCGGTTCATCAAAACTGTAAGTGCCCCTCCCTGGGAGCTACCATCACGTCTAGTTGCCCAAGAGGCATCACAGAACGTCACAATTAGATTATCCTTCACCTGATGTGGAAAAATCAGTTTCACGTGACTGTGTCGTCGTTGCCACCTAATAGCCTTATTGGTTTCCATCAAATCACTCACTGTTGCCGTCTCCACACATCCTTGTAGATGGGAAACCGTCGAAAGCAACCAAGGACTCGTTTGAACTGCTCTCCAATTCAATGCTCCCAAAGCTCGCCTCATCTCTGATTTCTCGGCCGGAGTAGCCAGGTCATGTTTCATGTCTTTTCGAGAACGTTCGAGGTTTATTTCGTCAATGGAAAGAGCAAAACGTTCTTGATTCAGCCAAATATCAAAATCTTCGGTCTGAAAAATGTCGCATCCACAAAATTTCACACTCTTCTCTTGTGCACACTCCCAGCTTCCGAAAGGAAAGGAATCTCGAAGCCTTTGGACTTGCTTTTCAAAGAAAGACCCGGAGCCTGCGACCACCAGATCGTCCACGTGTGCACCTAGGTAGCCACAAATCTCCTGAGTAGTTGGATCGGTCAGGATGAACACGCACTGATCCAATTGATGTGACTGCCACTTCAAGCCCCACAGAACAGATTGTAGCTTCTCAAACCATCTCCGTGGCGCATGGCACAAACCATACACGGCTTTTGCGACTCTCCAAAGCTCATGAGGTTTCATGTTCAGGTGTTGTTTCACTTCTTCAGGTGGTTCAGCCCAGATTTTTCGTTCTAACTCCGTCTGATCTCCATTCAAATAGGCAGTCTTGATATCTCCTAGAAACACCTTGAACCTTCGTTGAGCTGCAAGTGACAAAATGGTATTTCTACCCAGTGTGCTCAGAGTGGCTGCTTCCCGAGGCACTGACAACAGCTCAGGATCCTGATATCCTTTCAAAATAAGACGGGCCTTAGCCTTCCTACCGACTTGTACTCCATTTTCATCTTGTACTGGTTTCCAAACAAGGACCCACCGCATGCCAAGGATTCTTTCTCGTGGAACTCCCTCCCTAGCACAAATCTCAACAGCACTATTTGAAGTAAATGAGTCCACTTCATTTCCCATGGCCTTCAAGAACTCTTTCTTGTCTTCTTCATTCAGTTTTCGAAAATTCACTTCAACGTTTCGTTTCGCCTTTTGATTGAGTACCCAAATACCTCTTTTGCAATGAACATCACGTGCCGACACATTCAAATGAATTTCAACTGTGTAAGTACTCTCAACAGCCTGAGCAAACAACAGAGCACTCTTTTCATCGCATTCTTCAGGTATGGTAGTAAGTTGGACAGGCCGTGAGTGTTCTGTACTCTCTTCCCGTCTTATATTCGCTGGATCCCTGTGTGGGGTCCTGCTCCGATGTCTCGGATTGTTGGTCCTATCTACCCGAGATTCAGCTTCTCTGCGATCTGCATCAGAATGATTTCCATCTGACCCATGCGCATCTTGAGCTCTGAAGTTTCCTCTTGCAGCTGAATCATCTCTTTTGAGGGTTCCTCCATGGTCACTGTCCAGTGCTCGAAGTCCCCCTTCTCGACCTTCTCTTCGAACAGCTCGTCCTGTCCGCCCCGCTTCTTGGTATTCCCGGTCTTCATCTGTGTG